ATTGTCAATAAGAAGCCGATATCAAATACACATGGGCATGGCCTTAAGCTAGCAGGAGGAGAGTTCAAGAGTAATGATTAATACATACGCCAAAAAAATCAGACAAAAAAAAACCCATTTGGGGTGATCGTCCGATAATCTGGTCATAGTACACAGCATTAAATAGCCGATCATGACAGTTCATACGAAATTATCCTAAGGGACAAACACAAAAAATTTCTTGTACAATACGAGAACGAGTGATTTTTGTTTAATCGGTACAGTATTCATCCAAAACAAATTGAGTGACCAAGATGATTTTCGGAAATGGAAGAATACATTACAGTACAATACAATATATTACATCACTTCCAAACTTGTATTCTTCGTACGATAATTTTTGTAACTTTAGTAACCTGTCCATTTTCGATATTATGAAAAATGAGTATGTTGTGCCCCCTTTTATATCCATGCAAACTAATATACACTTATCACATATACATACAATTTGAAATAAATAAATGTGATATGCACAAACAAATCTAAAATTATCACTCTCCACGTGCCCACAAAATTTGATGCAACTGCAAAATATCATAAACTGTGCCCAGTAATAATTTCAGGGTTCTAAAAGGTGCCTAGAAAATGTTCCATGATTAAGTGAATATGCAATTCTGTGAATTCTTCACATCTTGCTCAAATATATCCTCTACAGATTAATCTATGAATCTCGCCACCTTTTGTGTCTACGCGCTCACCTCCACAGATGAACCTGTATATACGCAGGTCACAAGTGCCTCCCCATTTAGGGATCAATCCTGCTCACTCTCTACCACTGATATCAATGATACTCCTCCTCATATGTTCAAGAATGGTGGGACTTGGTATATGATTCTTTGCAAAAAATAAGTGTGTGCTGCCCCTTTAAGAAATTAGCCTCACTGTGTCCTCCGCTCTGCAACCAGACTCACATGACTTAGAGACCCCTCATAGTACAGCATATCTTAAACTCATTGTTTTTTCAATAAAAATTGCATTTATAGAAGTAGAAAAATTAATGCACATCAAAATTACAGCGGGGCCTCTGCTCCTGCATCACTTCTCGTATTGCCTGTTAATCACGTCACCCGGCCCAATTCTTCACATGTATCATTACAGTCACGTGACTTCCTCAGGAGACTTCCTTGTGACTTCCTCAGGAGACTTCCTTGTGACTTCCTCAGGAGACTTCCTTGTGACTTCCTCATTTTCGATATGAGACTGTCATGCAGAAAAAAAAAAAAGGATGATCATTAGTTCAATATTCTCATCATGTGTACAAGGCTTAATTTTAGGTAGTGAGTTATTCAACAGTAAGTGCATTTAAACATGCTTCTTATGGTATTATAAACCTGAATCTTGTATTCCTTCTGTTTTAACTGCCCCCTCCACTGCAACAAGTACCCATCCAACCCCTGCCATCTGTAGGCTAAGTTTACTCTTGGTCAATATTGCTACGACTCTGTTCCTTTATGAATACTATATTCACAATCCATTAATTGTTGTTTTATTATGGAAATAGTGAATGTGTGTGAATCTGAGACAAAGTTATTTATCTAACATGCATGAAAAAGAATTGTGACAATTGCAGGCTCTCAACGTAGCTCTAAAATTAAACTCGCTCAAGTGTTGTCGACAAATTGACCTGCAGCATTGTGTTGTTTAAGACTGCACATTTCATTGGGTCTCAATTGACATGAAAATTGCAATGCATATCTGTGTTGTACCACCATGCGAGGTGAAGCTGCTGATGGAAAATAATTAGCTCTCAGAGAAAAATATTGAGAATGTACAACTTGCCGAAGATTGCGCTGCTATTTGTTTTAATGGTGACAGGCGTTAAATGTGACGGTGATGCCACTGTGAAGGTTAAATGGGAAGATTATGTGCTGCACAGATGTTTATGGTTTCACATTATTGCTCTGGGATGTTTCTTCCTGTTGGCTTTGCTTTTTAGTTCATTTTAACAGTAATTACAAGTACCCCATAATGGGTTACTTACTGCTGCAAACATTTTCATTAAGTTTCCAGATTTTTATGAAGGCAAGAAAAATGTAATGTAGCGCTGTCATTGGAAGACCTTCTGTATAAGGTTCTTAGCCCCCAGTTTGCTGTAAAACAAACAAATCCACAAGTCTACCCTTACATAATAATGTTTAAAGGCTCTGCTTGTGCATCTAAAATGATGTAATCACAAAAGGGCCACAAAGTTACCATCCTGGCATCTGGTGCAAATTATTTAAAGTAGGTCTAATCCTAAACATTTAGGAATGGTTGACATCAGAATGCTGTGCAGGAAAGGCTTGTTTCCCAAACCATGTTCAAAATGCACTGCCTTTGTGATCTGCTGCTGGTTCCAATACATTCTTAATGGAACCCCAAACACAGATCACAAATGTAGTACATTTTGCTGTCACCATATTGCATTTCAGAAGTAGTGCATGTACTATGTTTTGTTCAATCCAGTGTGATTTAAGCCAATTCAATGGGCTGCAAACAGCACTGCAGGGGAATGCACAGGAATCTGGCATGAACTGGTCCTTATTGAGAGGTTAGAGTAGTGTTTCTCAACATTTTTACCTTGGAGGAACCCTTGGCAAAAAGTTTGAGATCTTGGGGAAGCCCCGAAAAAACTTTTCAGATCTACAGCTCATGAAACATTGATCTGATCAGCAAGCTGTAGATATAACAATTAACAAACAAATGCAGAGCAGTGCATGGAAGCTGTTGGTGTAACATGCTTTTTCTCCTTGATCCCCACTAACCCTCCTCTCATCCATCCCAGGTGATATTATATTTACCAGCCTGGGACAGACAGAAGAGGAGGACCTGTGGGGAACAGTGCAGTAAATAACAGTATGCTTCCCTGCACAGCTCTGCAAATCCATAACACAGGGTTTCTCACATGGGGTTCCACCGCAGATCAATATTGTGGTGGATGTATATCCACCCAATGTTGTTTTTAATACGCCAGTGCGCATTGATGCCTGATGCCTCCTCTGTAGTTTGCAGTTGTGGTTCCTGTGAACTCAGAGGGTGGCCTCGAGTGGAGTGCACAGAGTGGGAACATGTAGCTTGATCAGAAGGTGACATCCTGTGAATGGCAGCAGTGAATGGAAACTGTGGAGGGAGGGAGAAGAGAGTGGGAGCACATGGATCAATGTAGCGGGGGGGTGACATCTTGTGTATGGCAGTGCTGAATGTGTTGGTTATGTGTTAGAGAAGACACTAGTAGCTTGTGATGAGGCAGAACGTGGTTTACTTGTGTGGTTTAAGTTGCAAACATACAACACATTTCAGCAAACTGTAACAGCAGACATCTTGGTTATGAAGAAAGAGAGGAGAGAGAATCAACAAGTTTTACACATATGCACAACTGGTAACCTTAGTGTACAGTGCCATCTACTGGTCAAGTGATATTAACACACAATACTATATAGTACATGCTGTTGTATCCCCAACAGAATGAAGACTGCAGGGCCACATGGCTGGATGAGACTGAATGTAGCAGTAGGTAAGATCGTAATAGCTGTATGTACAATTATGGCATAACTTCCAGAGGGAATGTGGGGGAACATACTTCTGGAACCTCCAGCACTGAATGTATGTAATGGCAAGGGGTGCTGGGGTGTGTTTGAAGGTCTATTGATGCTGGCTGCTGGGAGACTATTGTTACTGGAGAGGATCTATTTTTGCATGGTGGCCTATTTTTGCTGAAAAGGTCTGTTGTTGCTGGTGGGGAATCTATTGTTGCTGGAGGCAATTGTTGCTGGAAGGGATCTACTGTTGAGGTAGGGGTCTTTGGTTCTAGCTGATGGAGAGCCTACTGATGCTGACTGCTGAGAGATCTGTTGTTGCTGCTGGAAGTCTACTGTTGCTATGATGGCATCTTGTTGTGGGGGTCCATTGTTGCTGAGGGAATCTATTGTTGCTGGGCAGTCTATTGCTGTTGGCTGCGGGGGAATCTATTTTAGCTTTTCTTGTTATCATTAACAAATTCCATAAAAATTACATAGAAACACAAAATAATATACGGCTCAGTATTTTCTAAAAGGAGCAGTACTGGGAGGTGGATAGGGGGTGGAATCAAGGAATGGTGCTCTGAGGTTGGAAGGGGGGTGGAGACAAGAAGTAACTCAAAAGGGGGAGTTCCTGCACCTATTCTCTCTGAGAAAAAAACCCCTGGGCTTAACATTGAGCTAATATGATCTCACCTCCTCCTACATGCAATCTCTTCCAACTGTGTGCTCTCCCTCTCTGCAGTCTGCATCACTGCTGCCAAACACTGGATGTCACTTTCTGTTTTATCCATGTGCTCCTTCTCTCTGCTCAACCTCCAGTCTGTATTGACTGCTGCCCTACACACACAGTGCTCTGTCTCTCTGCCCCACCTCTACACCACCTTCCCATCAAGTCATCAAGGGATCAAGTATTCCAGTCATGGGCTCGCGGTTTGTGCTCCCTCCCACCGTTTTGCCATCAGTGCTGCCATAGAAAGTAACACCTCCCTTTTCAGCTCCCCCCTGTGCAGTACTCCCAGTGCCTCCCTCTGAGTTCACAGGACCCGGAACTACAGAGGAAGCATCAGGTATCAATGCACGCTAAAAGTACTGACTGTCAGCACACATTAACCTCCTCGGCGGTATGATTATTTCCGATTTTTTGTGCTGAAAGCGGTACCATTTTTTTGCATGGAAATATGTAGTTTTTTATTGTAGGCTGTAATTTTTAGGAATAACTCACTGAAATCTGTACGAACAAGAGTCTAGTAAACATCCCGGGTATGATAAAATTTGAAACACGAAATCATAAATTATAATTTAATAAATAATCATAAAAAATAATATAATAATATTACATTTAATTCAATAATATAATCAAACCAAAAACACTGAAATTTAAAATACAGAGGCAAATTCGCACATCGCTGAGCAAAGTCGCAAAATCGTTTTCAGTGTCTGATGACACGAATCATTATCAGTCAATTCTGCAAGTGGTTCTGATTTACTATCGCTGTTCTCTAGCTGGTCTAAAACCGCTTTTGACGTAAAGGGATGCTTATTGGACGCCATGGACTTTTCTAAGTTTCCAGGCAGAAAGAACAGTAAAAATGCAGGCAGGGCACAGGACAAAGCAGTAGGGACAAAATATATGTGAAATGCATTGAAACAGCAATGTTTTACTATGTAATAATCATTAAAAAAAAAATGATATTTTTTAAAAATTTCAAATTTGCCGCCGGTTACGGCGCCCGTACGTTCTGACGTCACAGGGACCGGAACACGGAAGCCGGCATCGGCCGGAGGAGATGGCTGGGGATGCTGCAGGGGACACATCGTGGGAGCGAAGGACAAGGTAAGTGCTGCAGGGACTCCCTGAGCAACGCCGCATGGTAAGCCCGAGTGTAGCTCGGGGTTACCGCTCTTGGCACTCAAATTTTACCCCGAGCTACACTTGGGAATACCGCTAAGGAGGTTAACACTACTGGAAACAACATTTGCAACAATGTTGATTTGTGGTGGAATCCCTAGGGACTTCTTACGAAACCCTAGGGTTCTGCAGAATGCTGGTTGAGAAACACTAGGTTAGAGGGAAAGATCTGAGCCAGGGTTGGACTTTCAGGAATATTGGCAAGCATCTTCAAATTTAGAACTGGCATTTGTTAGACTTTTGCACATATGTATGCAAAATATAGGCATGCTGAGCTACAAGCATCCTCACTAATCATCAACTTGTTACCATTTTGGAGCAGTCCCATGTTTGGGGCATATTTATAAATCAGTGAATGTGACAATAACTAAATATTCTCTTGCAGGTGAATCTTCTATGTGCACATGCTTTTAATTACATTACAGTGATTAACCATATGGGAATGTGTGGGGACTGTCACATTCACGGTTTTATCAATATATCTTTTTATGTCTTTATGTTTATCTTTTTATCAATTTATTTTTTTCCCTAAGGTGGGGAGAGGCTTAGATCTGAATGAAGGCTGATATAAGGATTTGCCAAGGTTAGCCCTTGTTTGACTTGGCACCTGTAATTTGTTCTTATAAACTAGATTGGATGATGATTAAAGGAACAGTACAGCCAAAGCTTTTTGGGCTGCACTTCTCCTGTGGATCACAAGAGTGCAGTTCATTCTGCATTCCTGTGACCAGTTTTCAGCTGACAGCAGACTGAAGTCCACTGCCGGCTGATGTCTCTCAGCCAGTTCAGCCTGGGGAAAGATCCCGACTTCAAAGTCAGGATCCACCCTAGAGTCTGGAATGGCACCTGGCTCAGAGCTCAAGCGCTGAGAGCCTGAGCCAGCCGTTCCCTCTACCTCCACAGCTCAGTGCTCCAGTGAGCGATGGGGGGCTGAGCAGACACCGGTAACTGACAGTCCCGCTCTCTGCTCAGAGCGGAGAGGAGAACTCAGCAATGGCCAGTCATGTGATCACTGAGTTCTCACCCTTAGAGCCATTGGGGGACAGATGCAGGATCGGACCAATGCTGCATCCACCTAGGTAAGTAAAAAGGGGTATAAAAAAGCACCTACTTCTCTTTTAAAGAACCAATTAGCATCCAGGAACTGTAGCATTTTACTATGTTGCAGGAAACCATATGAGAGACCAGGATCAGGCAATGAGTAAATCACAGGTCTACTCAGCAGATTTCAAGTGCATAGTAAATTGTACTCAGCAGAAAAAAAAATCCTGCATGCCGGAGCTCGAACAGGCATGACTTATGTGACAAATTAAGTGGTAATAAATGCTCTTCATTAGTCTTCCACATCAACAGTCTCTTGCCTAGACAGGCTTTTACAGATCAAGAGACTCACCACCAATAGGAAGCCTTTTGCATTCTTGTCAAGGTAGGAACTCCCTTCTTATGAACTGCCATAGAACCATAGACTGCCACCACCACTATTCATAAAGTGGTATTTAACCACTTGCCTACCGGGCACTTATACCCCCTTCCTTACCAGGCCAATTTTCAGCTTTCAGTGCTGTCGCGCTTTGAATGACAATTACGTGGTCATGCAACATTATACCCATGTGAAATTTTTTTCAAACATAATTTTTTTTTATCATTTCACAAACAGAGCTTTCTTTTGGTGGTATTTACTTGCCACTGGGTGTTTTACTTTTTGCGCTATAAACAAAAAATGAGCAAAAAATTTGAAAAAAAAAAAAAGTTTCTTTGTTTCTATTATAAAATTTTGCAAACAGGTAATGTTTCTCCTCCACTGATGTGCGTTGATGAGGCTGCACTGATAGGCAGCACTGAGGGTCACTGATAGGCGGCACTGATGGGCACTGATAGGCAGCACAGGAGAATTCATTCTAGGAGGACGTCATATGACGGCCTCCCAGAACTGGCCGACCGCAGTGCAGCCGTCATTCGGCTACCTGCGGTTGGCAACTAGTTAACACAGTATGTCAGAACACCTAGCAAAATATGTATATAGGCTGCTAATGCTGATCTCCCCCTAAGAATGCTAGCTGCCTCTCTGCAGCTGAACCAAAGCAAGCATGCAGCAGGGCCATTAAATAAGAGTAAAGTGAGAACTTTTCAAAAGGAGAAGTGATAGCCTCCATATTTGCCTCCCTCTACCACAAAGGATTTGACATTGCCCAATGTGCGAGTGTCTTGTATTCAATTAAATGCATGGACAATAGGAGTAATACCAATTAATTATAAGTACCAAAATGTGCCGCGCTCCACTATTACAAATATACATAAAAACTTATACAAGTGCTCAAACAACATCTAGTCCAGTCTTATAAATCACAAACAAAAATGTCCATATACAATTCTTCAAAATTCTTATGTTCACTCATAAAGAATCCAGTGCTTCTTAATACACCTCCTGTATTGAAATTCGCTTTAAAATTCATGCACACCCAACGGTTGTGCTCTCACCTCAAATATATGACCAAACCGTTAATTGAGGTCATAAAAAGCCTGTGTCTCTTTAAATGGACCAAATGTGGATGGAATGGTGTCCTGCTGGATGGGATCCCTTTCCATTCCTCTGTTGGCTCGCCTCCCATGGTGGATATGTTAAAAGATTAATCAGATAATAGTGCTTTATCTTTTAAAACCATTTATTGAAAACAAGTATTTCACTCACATGATCAATGAACAGAAAACACCTTGTAAGAAAATTGTAGCCTCCTGAACTTTGGCAGGGACGATATCCTATGTGTAACCAGCTGGTGTCAGTATGGAACCATCAAGCGTCGTGACATCAAAGCCCCTCCCCTACACGTTACGCCACCGGTCACATGGCTTCATCAGGGGAAAATGATTGGACGGCAAACCACTCGTACATCCTTGTATAGGGCACTTCAGCACCATTTTATGGGAGCCTGCACGGCGGTCACATAATTGCGATCTGCCTTGCCTAAAAAACTCTAACTATACCAATATACAATGTACTGAAGATGTTGCAGTTTCACCCCACACTTTATTTAAGATATTATAGAGCAAGAATGTCCACTTGATGTCACAGGATGCTAATCAATTAGCATGCCGATAAGACACCATTTTGTAGGAGCCTGCATGTTAATAAACAGTTTCTATAGAACCCTGGCAACATAGCCTACCTAAAATTGCACCATTGACATACCACTCTTAATTTATTATGTGGCTAACCCCATGTTAAAATATGGATTTTTGGTGTTATCACGATAAGTGATGATGTTTATATCTCCTGTTGATATTATAAACATGTTCTTTTATACTTTCTTTCAGGGCTCTTTTTGTCCTGCCTATTTGTATAAGATTATATTTATTTAGGAAACTCGGCCATAATATGGATAAAAAAAATAAATGTATGGTGGGTTTTGGTTACCATGAAAAAATATATTAAAGATAATACCCAGATAAGTACCCAGAAAATTAAGGTGGGAAGTATCTATAAATGATGAATTACTGGATGAGGAGGATATACAGGAATGGTATAATTTCTTCAATGAGAAGGGAATGGAAGTTCTACATTTTCTCATTAAAAAAAAAAAAAAAAGGAAAATGTGTAAATTAGACACGCTAATAAATGAGTATAAGGAGAAAATTGAGCCACTCAAAGAACAGGTGGAGTGTGGCAGATTGATGAACGAATTGAGTAAAAATATACAGAAAATAGAATTAGAAAATAAAAATAATAAAAAGAAAACATACCTCAGAGTATTACAAGATTACAAACAAAAACAGGTATTTAAATGGCAGGTGAAATTGGCTAAAAATGAATTGCATTCAGTTGAGTCTACACCAGAAAAAGATTTATCTACCAATTTGCCAAAAGAGAAAAAGTATTTGGGTTTTAAAACCTTCGAACAACAAAAAGGAGACACACTAAAAGGAAAAACACCTACTATGAAGAACACACACCCAAACGGTAATTATTATTGGAGACCACCCCAAACTTCATACAGGACACCACCACAACCTTCACCGTATGTTGGTAGACCTCAACATGAACATATGCACAGAGGGTACCCACCCATAACACACCCGGGCCCATATAATAATTATGTACCATACAATAACTATCATCAGGGTTATGGTTATCAGAAACCTAAACCGCAAAGACCTTTTTTAAAAAAAACTCCATGTAGACCAAATCAAGTATTTGTGCAGAATAGATACCTCTGGCACAGGAAGAACACAGATCCCCCAACCCCAACACACTCTTTTAGGGTGGAAACCATCTCAAGGGAGGGGAGAATACAGGGAAAGACCCGCAAGAGAGGATGTAGAGGTGGCAGAAGAAAACAACAAAAAAAGAAGAAGGGAGTAATAGGAGCAGGTATCTTCAATCTCAGTGGGGTCTAGATAAAGGACTTAAATTTCCCCTGAGTAAAGGTCTAAATACGTTTTATACCTATGTAAATATTCAAAAACTGGTTAGGAATCTAAATATTAAAAAATATTATGCACAAAACCCCTATGAGACCCCCACGTATAGTGATGAGGGAATGGCAGCACATCACACGCTGCTTAGAAATAAATCAGTATTTAATCTGGTGCCTACAGACAATAGATACATAGATATGTTCAAAAAACTAGTTATAGAGGATTTAAACAATCTTGCCTTCAAAAAAAAATTTGGGGATACAGCTGGGATCAACAAAGGCATAAAAGAACTGGAAAAAAGGAAGGATATTATTATCCAACCTGCAGATAAAAGTGGGGAGATAGTTTTACTATCAAAAAACTATTATGAACTAGAAATGGACAAAATGCTCAGTGACAGAAACACATATATGACATTAAATAGTAACAACACTAACATATATAAAAAAGAACTGTAAAAATAGTTAAATATGGGAACAGGAAAGGCATACTG